ATTCAGTTAGGGGCCATTAAAGTAAACTCTAACTGGTCAAACACTGTTTGGAAAAGAATTAATTTTAAAAAGCCTTTTTTTTTTTTTTTTTTTTTAAGAGTCTTTTTTAGAACACACATGAAACATGCAAGCAAAACTAGGTAGGATTTTTGAGGTGGAAGGATCCCTGACCTCTTGTCTTTATCAAAAACCTTAATATTATTATTTTGCTTTTACAGAAGAGGTGGAATTTCTGTCTTTATCAAAATATTACTACCTGGGCCGGGGAGATGGCTCAGTGGAATAAGCACTTCCCTGGCAAGTGCAAGGGCCTGAGTTCAATCACCAGTTCCGCCAAAAAAAATTACTACCTATAGCTACATGCAGTTTAAAGTAGACAGATGCATTAACACAATTTGTGAAACTTGTCACAAATGGAATGATGTTAAAGGCATGAGTTTTTGAAATGCTTATTTTTTTTTTTTTAATGGCAAAAAACAGTTAAAAGCTCAAGAGTAGCCTGACAGTGAATCTTTCTTTTCTGAAAGCTTCATGTGTTAAACACTTCTGCAGGCCAAGGTAATTATGTCCCTCTTAGGGACAACTTAAAGTCAAAGCTGTACAATAATTCTCAAAAAAAAAAAAAAATTCCTCTCCAGGAACAGGACAAAAAACATTCATTCAGTGTCTCAATATACAATTGTCCTCACTATGTTAATGCTAATGTTAGTGCATAAATCTTGTGAACATTATCTATACTAGGAAGACTACTTAAAAAGATAAAAGACCAAATATATGAAATGTTAAAAATCATCTACATTTAAAGAAAAAAAAGTGAAAATGTGAAGGACAACAAACCCAGTACACGGCTCTAAATCCAAGGTCTTGTTTTCTTCACTTTGTAATAAATCTTCTATTTTCTCTCTAAAGAATTAGAAGAAGATCACAACCATGAGTACTTGAAGGAATGAAATTATAAATTAACAAAATAATCATACTCAAAAGCAGTCTGAATATGAGAGAGAGAGAGAGAGAGAGAAAGAGAGAGAGAGATAGACAGACAGACAGGCAGGCAGGCAGGCAGACTACTTGTTAGTGCTGGGGACAGAACCCACAGCTTTCTCAATGAGCTCTATTTTGAGCCTCATTTTATTTACTGTGAGAAAGTGTTTCATTAAGCTGCTAACTTGTTCAGATTGGGTTCAAACTTGGAATCTTCTTCCTGGCTCAGTCTCCCAGCGTGCTAGAATTATAGGCATGGACCATGATGATAAACGAGAACATCTATTTATTATGTATGAAGTTCTTACTTCTTTACACATAGAACAGTGCAACTCTACCCAATCATGTTGTAACTTTTTATTCAAAAATGTAAAACAAAAAAGATTATGGGGATTAGCTGCGTGGAAAAAATGGCTGCCACCAGTTTGGCTCTGTTCTGTAGAAGAGTCTCAGCAGTTCTGAAGGCTTCTGTATCATTAAAAACTCCCAAGGCCCCCGCTAGCACAGGATTTTCTCTTAGTTTGTTATCTAAGAATACATCAGATGGCACATCCTTTCAGCAGTGTAGATTACTTCATACTACATTGTCAAGAAGAGGACTGGAAGAATTTTTTGATGACCCAAAGAATTGGGGGCAAGAAAAAGTGA